TCAACTGTGTAAGTATGGACTTCCAGTTGAACATTTTGAAGACTGCCTTCATAATCAAGGTTGATGTGTGACATGACCACCCACTTCATTTGTATCCTTGACTGGCTCTTGGAGCCCCATGTTCTTCTTTTGAGTGAGCTAACAGGAAGTGGTAGAGGCAGGTGGTCAGTTATTCCATTCATCACACTGCTGCAAAACCTGGACAAATCAGGCTACTAGCTGTTATTACTAAAGTTGTTGCTTGATGGCTCAATTTTGAATAACCTGGTTGTTTGGAACCAGCAACAGTTTGGAGTGAATCTCGTGCTGCTATTGAAGTGGGAAGTAGCTGATTTTCATTGGCATCATTTGCTGTGCAGCCCATACTGTGTGTAAAGTGAAAGAGGCCATTGAGAACCAGCTACATCCCAGAAGGTTCAACAGAGCTGTGGGATTTACGCTTGAGGTTGATCCTGGAACCCAGTCACCAACATACTCCAAAGAAGTGGGCCATTAAGCAACAGTGGTTTGAATAGTCAGTGATATTTAGTAGCCTGAAATATCAATGACAACTAACACTGACTATGGTGTGACTGGGACAACTGCCTGACTGTCCACCATTGATATTGGTTTACTCACAAACAAGGACATGGGACTTTTGAGATCTAGCTGTTGGTACAAATACAATGTGTATTCATGCCACATCTGGCAAGTCTGAGACATTACTAGGCAGCCATCATGCACATGTGGGAATATAGTGAATTTAGATGTGACTGTGACTAATGCCATCTCATACACTCTGATGCTCTGTTTGGGTATGCTGTTTTAATAATAACAGTATGTACCAAGACTGTGAGGCAGGCAATATGATATACAGCCATGCTTTAAACATCAAATTGCAGCATGTAAGAAGAGCCTTAACTTGAAAACTAAGGACTTGCAAACTTTTGTCATTGTTTTTGGAAAAACAGCTCTCCACTAAAATTTGTATGTATAATATTGAATCATTCTGTATACAAATTTCAAGACAGAAAATACTACTACTACTACTACTGCTACTACTACTACTACTACTGTTACCATCACCACTACCATAAATTCTTGCATCGAATGTGTTTTATGTTTTACTTCCATTATTAGATTTGCAAAGAGTGATTTTGAAGTTGAATGAAAATAATGTGTCTTATAACTGATATAGCTTGAGAGAAGTTTCAACGAGAATTTGAAATTTTCAGGTGAACAGGAATTGGTTCAGTTTTTGTCTGAAGAGATTGCAGCTGAATGTAAGGCACAAAAGATTAAATCCATTCCTAGTAAGGTTGATGACTTTGAAGTTAAATTGAATGGAGCTGACGTGACATTAACAAAGAAAACGGCAAATGAAACGTATGTATTGAATGCATGACATTTATGAAGATATGTTTAATAAATTATGAAGACTTGTCATGTCACAAATTTCTTTTACAGTGTAATTGTTAACTTCAACGTGAATCACACAGTTGATACTGATGGTGATTCTGAACCAGAGTTGAACCCCAACATGGATAGGCCAGATTTTGCGGAGTTGAAGTCAAAACCTACTTTTGATGTGGATCTTCAGCTTGGCGATCAGACTCTGAGTTTCACTTGCTCCTTCTTACCAAGTGACAGTGTGCAGCAGTCAGATGACTACAGTATGTATAATTGTTACATTTGTGTTGAAAATAATCTGTGAAACAGATAAAAGACATGACAAATCCATTGTAAATTGCTGCATGCATATTTTTTTATGTTTAAAATTTTAACGGATTGAAATTATTTTTAAGCACCGAAATGTATTTTACTTCGGCTGCCTCTTCCATGAAAATTAAATTGGAATAATGTCCAAAAGTTTCTTAGGATGAAAAGTATTGAGACAGGGCTTTCAAGATATAATTATCTGTTTGTTATCCAGTGACAGGTGCTGTAGTATTATTGCCCACATATGAAAAAAGTGTAATGTTTTAGTTCGGGTATTTTTTTTCACAGCCACATGCTCTCTCTCTCTTTCTCTCTATTTGTGATGTAAATGACTGAAGCTGGTTGAACAGTTGCTCTAGCAGTTATTTATATGTACAGGGCTATTCAAAAAGATTGTCAGGGTTTTAAAAAATCACTACACGTAGTACAATTGAGGTAGGAATACCAATCTTGTTTTATTGTGTAGCAAAACTCTCAAAGTTTTTTTACACGCATTATAAATGCTCAATATGTGCGCCTTCTGCCAATCTGCAGACATCTACACGATAGTCCATTTCCTCCCACACACGCCCCCAGCGTGTCAGCGGTGATGTTTAGAATGGCGGCTCTGATACGTACCTTTAGATCCAGGATAGTCGCGGATAGAGGGAGGACAAAGACTTGATCCTTCCCAAATTTTGTGTGGAAGTGCCGCTGGACAATGGTAATGGACCGACTTTGATGATATTCGAGAGTACAAAAGGCCTTCTCCTTACCGTTAGCCGCCATATTGCAAAATCTGGCACCTGGCGGTCAAACGCGTAACTACTGGATGGCGGGCGGTACAGAACAAAACTTTGAGTTTTTCTCTATCCACCAGTGTAATGATAATAGTCGTATGTTTAATGCATTGCCCCACAAAAATTCACAAAACCCCGACAATCTTTTTGAATAGCCCTGTATATTGAAACCCCTATGTTGTTTTTATTTCATCGTTTTATATGGTGCTTTTAATTTCTTTGTACTTCAAAGGTGAGTTACTGTCTCATTATATTCCTGTTTATTTTGAATTCAACATGTAAAATGCAGTGTATGGACTGGTGTGTTGGTAAATCCACTAGATAATTTTCTTTTTTTTATCTTGAATTAATTTGATTTCAGATGACATTTTTGGAATTGATGAAGTCACTATATTTAATGGAGAATGGAATGACAAAGCTTATGCTGTTGCTGGAGATGTTTTAGATGGGGTAAGAAGTGTAGTTAGTGGCTTTAGACTTGCGTTATGTGTTACAGACATCCTTTGGACATCAGTAAAGTGAGGAGAAACTGTGGATCTCAAGAAGACATTTATATAGAATCATGCTCTCCATTAATAAATGACTTCTTGATCATGAATTAGCTGATTCACTAAATACAGTCATTTAAACTTTTATGCAACTGTGAATTCCTTTTATTCACAATATTTTATTTGCCAAGATACACTAATCACTCATTCTGCTGCATAATTGGTCACAAAAACCTAAATTATCTATAGTATTACTACAATAGAGAGAGCCGGATTAGCTCAGTCAGTATAATGACTGACTACGGACTGGACAACAGAGGTTCAATCCCCGCCCAGGCCAGAAGATTTTTCCTTTAGCCTCTGCATCCAGACTGCCCGCCCAGAGTTTTCTCTGGCTTTTTTGTTATCATGACATTCCTGTCAACTTCTTTCTGACACTTTTTACATCAAAATAAAGTTTGCCCCGCTACGTGCCATACAGGCGTTTGGGGCGATAGGAGGTATAGCTCCTCCCTTTCTTGACCTCAGCACTAGATGGGGTGAGTGGTGAGAATCATGCCCCGGCCAGAAGTAAATGGGTCTTTTGTATAAAAATATTTTTTATTTTAATTCACATTGTTTAAGGAAAAGGTGTTCACTCCTAATTTGGAGACTTGTCAAAGATCAAAATAAGAAGACTGTTTGGATTGTCATCTTTGATAAATACTTTTGTGTAATGACAAAATATCTGTTTGTTAAACCAGTATTTTGTAATTATATACTAATTAGAATTTGTTTATATTTCAGTGTCTTTATGACTTGCTCATGAATCTTCTGGAAGAAAGGGGAATCTCCAATGAATTTGTTGACAAACTGTCAGATTTCAGTACAGCATACGAACATAGCTTGTACATTGCTCTGCTGGAAAATACCAAGAAATTTGTCTCAGGAAAGTAAGATGTTTAAGTGTTACTGATGAACATGTAGCTGATTTACTGCTCATAAACATTTCCATTATTGTTGTACGCAATAATATGATTTCATACATGATCAGCAAATTATTAATTGTCAAAGAAAGGGTGTAAAGCAGTGTGAAGTAAACAATAAAGATTGTTTAATAATGAAACAAATTTTATTTCCATCAATGTCCAGGTACGAGGTGCGTCCCAAAAGTAAGTTTCCCACTTGTCCCACAGCTAGCAAACCTTATATTGCGCCAAGCGACTGTGCGTACGTGATAGAGCAATGACGTAGCATGGC